AGGCCCAGAACTCAATCCACTGAACCACATGATTTCCTCATACAAGGGAAAATCTGCCAAAGGAGACAGAAGATAATGAAATCATGAAATTAAAAAGGGCACCTCATTATCAGAGACTGGGGAAAAGAAAGAGGGGAGGGTGGATATAAGTATAGGGTTTCCAAATGAAGAGAAGAGAAGAAGATGGCAGTTACCTCAAATTTGTCATTAAATTAATAAGTGAGGTCCTCAGCTCAGAGAGTGGATGGAAGAAGAAATGTGGGACAGGAAGAGAGAAGAGGAAGCTCGACTTAATTTTTTTTGTCTGGGCAATGGGGTTAAGTGACTTGCCCAGGGTTACACAGCTAGTAAGTGTCAAGTGTCTGAGGCCAGATTTGAACTCAGGTCCTTCTGACTCCAGAGCCGGTGCTCTATTTACTGTGCCTCCTCATTGCTCCTTTACCTAATTTCTTTGAGGCCTCTGGTAGGGCATCAGTTAAGGAAAAGCAAAGGGTTTGCAGTACAGTGACTTCCTTCAGGTCCCTTCAGCAGTACATGATAAGGAGCAGAGGAGGTAAATGATGGGAGTAATTCAGCGCTAGGTTTTGGCAAGGGATAGGCAATTTTAGGTCAATAGGTGAAGAGATCTGAGAGTTGCTGAGACTATGGAATTGAATTGGTTAATTATAGGGTTTAAATAGGGAAGAAAAGAAAGTGAAGTGAGAGCAGGGCTAATGGCCTAAGACAATACTGAAGGATGGAGGGATTGGAGATCTGGATGAAAACAAACAAAATTTTTAGGACTGATGATCAGAGGTATGATTAGAGAGGAATGTCAGGATATTAGATGAAAGAACTGGCTACCCAAAGTAAGAGTGAAATCCTGATTTTGACCATCCTTTACTGTGGCTATGGTGGAGGCAAGGAATAATCTTCATCAGTCTTAAGGAAATTGAGAAATTAGAAGGTTAGAGTTGGAGGGAGTATTGACATGGATGTTAAAGTCCTCTAGTATATGAGTAGGGGTGGAAAGGGGTCATGTGTTTAACTCCACACTGATTTACAATAGCCACCATGATTTGAATAGGGAAAAAAATTTTAATCAAGTAAACTTCAAGAGGGAGAGAATGCTGATGATGCCAAGAGGAGAGTTTGGAAGTAGAATTAGAGAGCAAAAGCATTCAGACTCCCCCTCCAGGACCAATGTGTCAAGTGTGTTAATGAAATAGCTGGAGAGGAAGCTAACAATGCAGTCTTGTCTTGAGAAGCCAAGTCTCAGAGAAAGCAGGTAAATGATGGAGTTTTTTCATTAAAAAACAAGAATTCTGAGGGCACAGGAAGAATTGGATTGGGTGGTGGGTGAGATGGGGGGGGAGTTAAAGATGATGGGTATAAAAGGATTAGAGACAGTGAGTCAAAACTTTGGATAATTTGTTGCTAGGTACCTGATAATTGAGTAGTAAGAGTAATAGGTGAGTGAATTCTTGGAATATGGTATAGTAGGTCAGAAAATTCCAGGCTTTCCAAATTTTTTCCACAAAGTTTCAGAACTTTGCCTCAAAAAGAGAGTGGCAAAAATAAATAAAAGTTGGGATAAAAAGTAGTTGTCCTCCTAAAACAACCTGAGGGGACCTCAGGAAAGACAAGACCTCCAGAGATTGAGGTTTAGCTAAGAGTGAAACATAAACACCTCCAGGCTGAGTTTTGGAGGCTGAGTAGAGGAAGATGTAAGGACCCTCTGCTGTGTCCAGATGCCAGGTCTAGCAGTGCTAACTAGACATGGTCTTGGACTGTGGCTGTGGTTGAGGAGGAGTGAGCTCACACACAGTGAGTGTGGTACTGAAGAGAGCAAGTACTGTTTTGGGGATGGTGTGACTGGGGCCCTAGCTTTGGCTTAGAGAAGGTGAGAAGTGCTTAAGGTTTAACCCTTGGACAGAATTCAGAAAATGAAAGTAAGAAGCACCTGGGGCCTGAGGCATCATTACCCACAACTCAGGACTAGACTCTGATTACAATAATAAACTGCTAAAAATGAAATAAAACAAAATAAAAATGAGTAAGCAAAGGAGAAGGAACCTAACCATAGTAGCTACTATGGGGTAAGAGATCTGAGTTTTTATGCAGAGGAAGATACTGAAATAAAAAAAGTCACTCCTACCCCAAAGAGCAACGTCAAATGGTGACAAGCCCAGAAAGAGCTCTTGGAAGAACTTAAAAAGGATTTTAAAAAATCAAATAGGAGAGATGGAGAAAAAATTAGGAAAAAAAGAGCAATCCGGGAGAATCAAGAAAATTATGAAAAGAAAGTCAACCAATTAGAAAAAGAGCTCAAAAATATTCAGGAAGAAAATAATGCCTAGAAAACTAGAATTGGGAAAGGGGAAGCTAATGATGTTAGTAGACACCAAGAAATGATAAAACAAAATCAAAAGAATGAAAAAATGGAAAAGAACGTGCAACATCTCAGTAGAAAAACAATTGATCTAGAGAATAGATCACAGTGAGACAATATAAGTTATGATAATAAAAGTTATGATAAGTTATGATAAAAAATAATCTTGATACAATATTATAAGAAATTATTAAGGAAAATCACCCTGAAGTTCTAGAATGAGAGGGTTAAGTAAAAATAGGAAAAATCTACTGATCATCACCTGAAAGAAATACCAAGATGAAAACTTAGAGGAATATCATAGCTAAGTTTCAATGCTCCCTGGTTAAAAAGAAAATATTACAAGCAATAAGAGAAAAACCAATTTAAATACTGTGGAGGTATAATCAGGATTACACAAGACCTAGCAGCTTCTACACTAAAAGACTATGGATCTTGGAACATTAAATTTCAAAGAGAAAAAGAGCTGGTGTTGTGACCAAAAATAACTTACTTAGCAAAGTTCAGCATAATCCAAAATGAAAAAATGTATGTTTAATGAATTGAAAGACTTTCAGGCATTTGTGACAAAAAGATCAGAACTCAATGAAAAATTTTATATATAAGATCCAAAAGAAATATATGGAAAACATTAAAGACTAATTATAAGGGACTCAATTAGACCAAACTGTTTACTTCCTATACGTTAAAATATTATCAGTATTCTTAAGACTGTCATCATTACTTGAGTAACTTGAAAGAAAAATTAGAGCTGAGCTGAGCATGATGGGGTGATTCTAAAAAACAAAACTGGGGTAGAAAAAGGTAAAAAAGGAGCAATTATCTCATACAAATGAAGTGTGAAAAGAAGAACCAATGCAAAGAAAGCAGGTGGAGGTGGAGAACTCATGGTGTTGGAACCTTACTCTCATTGGATCTGGGTTAAAGAGGAAACAACATAGATGTCTAAAAGGGTATAAAAGTCATCTTAACTCATCAATAAATAAGTGGACCAGGGGACTGGATAAGGGAAGGATATTTAGAAGGATGTTTATATCAAGATTTAGAAGGGTAGGGAGAGAGAATAAGGAACAGACTCTTAGAGGGGTGGGTAGGAAAGATAAGGAACAAGAAGGTAAGGGAAAAGGATAAGGAAGGGATTCTTTGAAAGGGTGTAGATTAGAGAGGTAGTGGTTAGAACTAAACTAGATGTGTGAGGAGAGATAGGATAAAAAGAGAAGCTGAAAGGGACAATAGTGAGAAAAAATAGGATGGAGGTAAATACTCAAATAGTAATTATAACTTTGAATGCAAATTGGATAAATTTATTCATAAAATGAAAATGGACAGCAAAATGGATTAAAAATCAGAGTCCAACAATATGTTCTTTACATGAAACACATTTAAAAATGAGAGATACACACAGAGTTAAAATAAAGGACTGAAGTAGAATTTATTATGCTTCACCTGATGCAGAAAAAGCAGATGTAGTTATCATTATCTCAGCAAAGTTAAAGTTAAAATAGTTTTCATTAAAATAAATAAAAAGGTAATTCAACTATGTCATGATAAAAGGTTCCATAGATAATAAAGCAATATCAATACTAAACTTATATGTACCAAATACTATAGCATCTAAATTTTTAAAAGAAAAGTTAATTGAATTAGAGGTGGAAATAGATAGTACAACTATAATAGTGGGAGACTTCAATTTTCCTCTCTCAATGAGATAAATCTAATCAAAAAGTAAGTCAAGAAAATGAATAGAACTTTAGATAAGCTAGAAGTGATAGATATCTGGAGAGAATGAATGGGAAAAGAAAGGAATACACCTTTTTCTCTGTGGTACATGATACCTTTATAAATATTAACCATATATTAGGGCATAAAATTTTTATAATTAAAAACAGAAAAGCAGAAATAGTAAGTGCATCCTTTTCAGATCACAATGCAATAAAAATTATATTGAATAAGAGACCATGGAAACACAGAATAAAAACTAATTGGAGACTAAACAACCTAATCTTACAGAATGAGCAGGTTAAAGAATAAATCATAGAAATAATCAATTTCATTAGAGAGAATGATAACAATGAGACATATTTCCAATTCTTTGCCACCACAAAAAGATCTGCTATACATATTTGTGTACATGTGGGTCCCTTTTCCATTCTTACAATCTCTTTGGGACACAGACCTAGAAGTGCTATTGCTGTTTCAAAGGGTATGCACATTTTTATAGCCCTTTGGACGTAGTTCCAAATTGCTCTCCAGAATGGTTGGATCAGTTCACAACTCCACCAACAATGCATTGGTGTTCCAATTTTCCTACATCTTCTCCAGCATTTATCATTTTCTTGTTTTGTCATGTTAGCCAATCTGATAGGTGTGATGTGATACCTCAGAGTTGTTTTGATTTGCATTTCTCTAATCAATAGTGATTTAGAGGATTTTTTCATATTACTATAGATACTTTTAATTTCTTCCTCTGAAAAGTGCCTCTTCATATACTTTGACCATTTATCAATTGGGAAATGACTTGTTAAAAAATAACTTTTGCAGACATTTATGATTATAGATGCTCAGAAAACCCAATGTGTCTTTGATAAAGCTGTTTCTCTCCAAATCTAATTTCCCTATTATTTCTGAGGTTTTGTTTTTCAGATGCTTCTATCAAAGGCAAGAATCTCTGAATAATGTGAAATGGGGGAATTTTAAGAAATGGAAACATATTGGTTATGAAGAATGAAGCCCAGGGACAAGTGACTATGTGGTCTTTGAGAAACAGTAGCAGCAGGAAAGAAGAAAAAGTCTGGCAGCTAATTGGATAAGAGGGCAAGACTATAATCATCCTTATTGTTGCTGCTTTGAAGTTGAAAGTGCTTACATTCTGAAGAATATGGATTCTATTTTTATTATAATGATTATTGCTATTCCTTCTATATTTGTTTTTTGTATTTTATTGCGTTGTTTTTTATGCCCTAAGACTCAAGGTAACACTCGTCAAGAGTGCAATTCACCAGGAATTTATGGTTTCCAGGAAGGAGGTGTTTCCTGGAGAAGAGGTGATGTTTTTGGAGGAGATGGTTCCTGGGGAGGAGGTGATGCTTGTAAAGGAGGTGATACTTTTGCAGTAGTTGATTCCTATGGAGGAGGTGATTCCTTTGGAGGAGACAATGCTTGTGGAAGAGGTGATTCCTTTGGAGGAGGTGATGTTTGTGGAGGAGTTGATTCTTGGGGAGGAGGTGATGCTTGTGGAGGAGGCGATTCTTGTGGAGGAGGTGATACTTGGGGAGGAGGTGATTCCTGGGGAGGAGGTGATGCTTGTGGAGGAGGTGATTAGTGAGCAAAAGAGACCCAGAAAGAAGATAATTATTGTGGTTGACTGACTTGAACAAAGTGTTAACCTCTGTCCACCAGTGGCACTCCTTATTACCTGATACACTTAGGTCCTTGTTTTCCTCTGGAGTAAGTATCCAGTACTAAGTCAAAAGAGTCCATTAGATCAGGAGAAATTAATTTTTACAAAAAGATGGGATGTTTTGCCCAAGTCAGAAGAAAAGAGAAGCTCCTAAACTATGGCAGTTACAAGTAAACAAATCATGGATCAAAAAGTATTGGAGGAAACTTTGAATGAGACCAAGATGTCAATAATTAATATATTCTTTAAGCAAAGCATAGATAGAAAGCTTTGTGAAAGAACAACAAATAAAAAAGTTCACACATCAGGAACACAATGATTTATTTGCTTCAGTTTTTCTGAGGTGATATTGGGGAGATATGGAATTTACTTTTATATTGACTTTCTGCTTCTCTATCCAACATTGCGTTAAGTGCTAAATCTACAAATGTCTTTTCCAAAATATTTTCTGAAGGAGAGGTCAAAGGGCCTCCATCAGATTGTGATAAACACATGATATTCTAGTTGGCAAAGTAGGTGTAAAGAGAGCCCCAGAATCACAAACTATCTACCCAAGATTTTTGAAGGACTTTGAAGATTTTTTTCCGTCTGAAAAATATAATGGCAAATGACAATCATGCTAGTTTCATAAAGAAAAAAAAATAGTTTCTGAATGAATCCTAGTAACTACAAACTTCATGTAGGTTCAACTAGCAAGATTGATCACAGGGAGAGCTATATGAGATGCCTTACTTCTTTCAAAACACAGTTCAAGTGTCACCTCCTCCATGAAGCCTTTCTGATTTTTCCAACTGAATGAGATCTGTTCCTGCTCAAATTGTATTAGAACAATTTGGAGAGACTCTCTTTTCCCCTTATTTTATGCATGCTTGTATTATGTGCAATTCTACCTTGTGTTATACTTATTTGAATCTCTGTATCACAGTGTTAAACAATGAATTTTTTAACATAATGAAGCACATTTCATCACATTGATCTTACAACTATTAATATTTTAGTGAGAACAAAAATGTTTAGTACCACTAATAAATATAATAAAGTCAAATAATTTTTCAATATTTTTCATTCCAGGTTTGCATCTGACTCTTTAAATATTGTATTTCTGTATATGTTTATAATGTTCATTGGGTATTAGTAATACATGTACATATATAATGTAGTACACATACAGCTTAAAGTTTTAATGCCTAAAATTACTCTTGAACTTTTGGGATGCCTTCTATAACATATGTAATGAAATCATAACTAAATATAAATACATTGGGCAAGCAGGTTTGACAATTTTTTTTAACTGAAAGGCCTACACAATAAGCAAAGTTCAGAGACCACAAGGTGGCTAACAAGGAAAATAAATGTCCAGAAGTGGATTCATAAAAGAAGAGAAGTTTTCTAGCATATCTTTCATACCTCCACATTCAGGCAAAAGTTGTCAACAAACCTTACATAACAATTTAATTTTGTTGTGACTATGATCATCATATTCACTTGTTTAATGGGGGTTAAAGCATCCACCAGGAATTCCCTGGGTCTTAGCCAGCAGAAAGCCAGCTTTACAACCATGACACTTGCCTCTAGAGTGAAGACCATTAAAGAAATTTCTTTGTTTAGCCCTCTCTTTTGCCCTTATCACAGTCCTTGCCTTCACCACAGCTTGTATTATATGTACATCATGCTCCACACTTAATAGGAGATTGTAAGCTCTTTGAGGAGAAGAAGACTATCATGGTCCATCTTTGAGACCACCATTATATCTAATAGATGCTTAATTTTATTTTAATTGTTAAGTTTAAACACTTAGCATTTAAGTAAGAAGAACTGAATTAGGTCAAGAGATTGTTCAGGTCTATCTGGGAAAACACATCAATAGGCCTGAAATTTGTTGGAGGAAGGAGAGGAGCAATCATAGGGATTTTTTTTTTTATTTTACCTGTCACACTAATAGAAGGACCTGCACTTGGAGAAGAGAGACTAGAAGAGGACATACTGTGTCTGTTTTTCTTTCTTCCTCCTGTCAAGTGATTTCTTTCCCATTCTGGTTAGAAAAGGAAAGGCTAGAAAGAGAAATAATGAGATTCCTGAGATACTATTATTTGGTCATGAAAAATATGAGATTATGAGAAGAGATTGGTACATCTATCAACTCAGAAGATAGGCTTGAGTTATTTCATATTCATGTTTATGCCTCAGTGCCTTGTAGTAGCTTTGTAAGGAATCTGATCCTAAGATGAGATTTCAAGTGGAATTGAGAAAAGAACTTTCTCACCATGTGTGGGAATAACACACATGATTGGGGTAAATAGCAATGATTCTGTGATATATTCAATATCTTTAAGTATAATATGTAATAAAATTTAAATTTATTAAATTACTTTTTCAAATAAAAGCCTGTGTTTTCTTAATCTCAGAAAAACCCATTCCTATGAGATTATACACACGCACACACACACACACACACACACACACATGCACACACATACATATTTAAAGTGCATGTGCTCTTAATCTTTAAGCAGATTAAGGCCTTGATATGAGTTTGCTAGGCAAGGATTCTTAGGGGCTTCCACATAAAAAGAAACTACAGTATTGTGAGTTCCATTTAGAAAGCCAAAGGCAAAGGGGTTAAAGCAAAGAACACTATACAGGGAGACCCAATTCTTCCACAGACAAGCAATGTGACATTGAAGAATAAATTAATCTTCTTGGGTCTTAATTTCTTGACCTATAAAAATGGAAAATAGACCAGATGATCTTTAAGGGTTCTACTGTCTCTGATCCAGTTGTGGAAGTTTAGGGGTATTGGGACCCCAAAATTCAAGGGCAAGCGATGCAGGTCCTGCCTCAGATGAGGCCTTCATTCAGCCAAAAGACAAGGTTTACTAAAACCCTAGTTGTGGTGAGCAAGATTTCTAGTGAGTGTGTGCTATTGGTCAGATTTTAAGAATCTGAGCATTTGTGATGCTTGTATTGACAAGCCGGCTGGCTTGAATATGAGCGCTTTAATGGAGACAAGATGGATCTTTTACACACAAGACTGTGGGAACAGAGGAGGAGTCTAGAAGGAATTAAGAGTGGAAAGTGGCTGTTATATATAACAGACAATGAAGGACTGGGCCAGGTTAGAAGTAACAGAGAATTGGAGGTTGAATGTAGGCCACAATGAAAGTTCTGTTGAAAGGATTACTGGGATGGGGCGATGGCTTAGGCAAATGCCAGAGAGTTGGCCATATGGAAAAGTTCAAGTATGTTTGGGGGAGGGGGAGGGAGGAAGGGCTTCTAGGGCCTATACCCCATCACAGTTACCTAAGGGAAGATTTCTGTCACAGATGGAGCTGCCCCAATAATGTTGTTGCCATTCATATTGTGCAGAGAACTCTTGCTCTCAGATTCAGACTTGTAGGTTCACCCATGGGATCCAGAGTGGGAAGCAATCTAAAGTGTCATTTATAATTGTGCCGGCCGCGCCATGCACTCTCCTCCTATAAGGACCAGGCTGCCAGGGTCATACTACTTAGCAGTCTTCAGAGCCTACCCAGATAAACACACAGAGACGAGCCGATCAGGAGGTGCCAACACTGGAGCTTTATTCAGAGGCCATCACAGCAAGGCCAAGCAGGAAGGCCAGAGCAAGAGAGCAGGAGCAAAAGAGAGAGAGGGAGCTCCGACCACAACCGTTCCTTAAGTACCTACTTAGCCCCTCCTCCTCAGCCCGCCTACTAGTCATTGATTGTAGGATCAGATACCGGAAGGGGATGTCTGGGTTTAGTGCACCAAGGGAGAGGAAGTGACTCAGGAGGCTAGGACCGGATACAGGAAGGAGGCATCTGGGATTAGTGCATAGACAAAGGTAGAGTACGTGACCTAGGAAGTCAGGCCCAGATACCGGGAGGAGGCGTCTGGGGTCAGTGCTACACAAAGGGAAAGTACGTGACCCAGGAAGTCAGAAAGGACACAGGAAGGAGGTGTCTGGGGTTGACGTTGCACTTAGGGAGGAGACTAAGCAAAGGGAACTCATCCTCTGCCGTCCCACTCCCACATGGCACAGCCCCCTGCCTCAGGAGCACGTGCTCAGGCTACTTCTTTGTATTCTGTTCCTTCCCCAGCTATCACAGCTCCACATAGCACTGCCCACTGCCTCGGGAGCATGAGCTCTGGTTACTTCCTAATATCTTGTTCTTACCCCATCTTGCCACAACCTTCACTTGGCAGTAGCTAACATCAGACAGTCCCTCACACATAATAATACTGTTGTTTTCTTTAAAGCCATTTACCTGATACCAAGAAATAATTTCTATGAATAATGGAGCAATATACAACCCTATGACCTGCAAGAAGTTTCTTTTCTTAATATTTTATTCATGTATCTAATCATTCACTCCTTAATTAAATCCTTCAATTTAAAATTATTTAAAATATTTTTTGATTTCCTAATTCTTTCTCTCCCTCTAGCTCCTCAATCGCCCATTTAGATGGTAAAGAATATAATATCAATTATATATGTGATATCATACAAAACATTTCCATATTAGTTCAGTTGTAAAGATAAAAAGCAAGGAAAATAAAGTAAACAAAAGGAGTATACTTAAGTCTGCACTTAAAATTTCATCAATAATCTCTCTGGTGATGGATAGCATTTTTCATCATTTATCCTTTGGAATTGTCTTGGATAATTGTCTTGATCAGAGTGGCTAAGTCTTTCACAGTTGACCATTATCATAATGTTGTTATTACTCTGTAGAATGTTCTCCTGGGTCTGCTCATTTCACTTTGTTTACTTTTTTTCAAATCTTAATAGTATTTTATTTTTTCCAATTACATGTAACTTGGTTTTCAACATTCATTTTTTTAAATTTTGAGTTCCAAATTATTCTCCCTCCCCAAGACATTAAGCAATCTGATATAGTTATATATGTACAATCATGTTAAACATATTTCCACATTCGTCATGTTGTGAAAGAAGAATTAGAACAAAAGGAAAAACCATGAGAAAGAAAAAACAAAAAAAGTGAAAATAGTATGCTTCAATCTGCATTCAGAATCCATAGTTCTTTCTTTAGATGTGGTTAGCATTTTCCATCATGAGTCTTTCAGCTTTTTCTTAGATCCTTGCATTGCTGAGAAGAGCTAAGTCTGTCATAGTTAACCATCCCACAATGTTGCTGTTACTGTGTACAATGTTGCTGTTACTGTGTATAATGTTCTCCTGCTTTTGCTCCCTTCACTCAGCATCAGTTCATGTAAGTCTTTCCAGGTATTTCTGAAATCAGTCTCCTCATCATTTCTTATAGCACAATAGTATTCCATTACATTTATATACCACAACTTGTTCAATCATTCCCCAATTGATGGGAATCCTTTCAATTTCCAATTCTATGCTGCCACAAAAAGAGCTACTAAAATATTTTTGAACTTGTAAGTCCTTTTCCCTTTTTTATAATCTCTTTGGAATACAGACCTAGTACTGCTCACTTCACTTTGTATCAGTTCATGTAAGACTTCCCAGGTTTTTCTGAAACCATCCTATTCATTATTTCTTAAAGAACAATAACATTTCATCAAAATCTCATACTGCAACTTGTTCAGCCATTTCTCAGTTGATGGGCATCCCCTCAATGTCCAATTCTTTGTTACTACAGAAAGAGCTAACATAAATGTTTTGTAATATGGATCCTTTTCCTTTTCTTTTGATCTCTTTTGAATACATAACTAGTAGTGATACTACTGGGCCAAAACATAAGCATGATTTTATAGCCCTTAGAATGTAGTTCCAAATAGTTCTCCACAATGGTTGGACCAGTTCACAATTTCTCCAATTGTACATCCCATTGGATGTCCCAATTTTTCTACATCTTCTCCAGCATTTGTTCTTTTCCTTATCTGTCCTTTTAGACAATTTGGTAGGTGTGAGGTGATATCTGAGAGCTGTTTTAAATTGAGTTTCTCTAATCAATAGTGACTTTGAACACTTTTAAAATGTACCTAGCTTAATGTAATGTATTTGGATGTATTATAATTAGTTCTTATTTTTATAAATTTGACTCAGTTATATATTTGACAAACGAAACCTTTATCAGAAAAAAATCATTATAAGTTTTTTTTTTTTTTTTACAGATGCCAGCTTTGCTTCTGATTTTAGCTGCATTGGTTTTGTTTGTGCAAAACCTTTTTTATTTTATGCAATCAAAATTATCCATTTTACTTCCTCTGATCCCTTCTATCTCTTCTTGGGACACAAATATTTTCATTATCCATTGATCTCTCAGGTAAAACCTTTCATGCTTCATTAGTTTGCTTATGATACTACCCTTTAGCTCTCTATCAGGTACCCATTTTTACCTTATCTGGGTACATTTTGTGAAATATTGGTCTATGCCTTGTTTTTGCCAAACTTCTTTCCAGTTTTCCTAGAAATTTGTATCCAATAGTGAGTTTTTTCCCTAAAATCTTGGATAGTTGATTTGACCAAACACTAGGCTACTATGGTCATTTAGTATTTTACATTGTGTACCTAATCTATTCTGCTGATCCACCACTTTATTTCTTAGCCAATACCAGATTGTTCTGATGATTACTGCTCTGTAGTATAGTTTGAAATCTGCTAGTTCTGGGATGCCTTTCTTCACATTGTAAAAATTTGATTCTCAACCCACATGTACAAAGATATTTATAGCAACTCTTTTTGTGGTGGCAAAGAATTGGAAATTGATGGGGATGTCCATCAATTGGGGAGTGGCTGAACAAGTTATGGTACGTGAATATATTACCATATGGTATATGGTAATGGAATACTATTGCGCTATGAGAAATGATGAGCAGGCAGATTTCAGAAAAACCTGGAAAGACTTACATGAATCGATGCTGAGCGAAGTGAGTAGAACCAGGAGAACAGTGTACACAGGGACAGTCACATTGTGTGATGACTAACTTTCATAGACTTGGCTCTCCTCAGCAATGCAAGGATCTAAGACAACTCCAAAAGACTGATGATGGAATATGCTATCCACATTCAGAGAAAGAACTATGGAGTCTGAATGCAGATCAAAGCACACCATTGCTCTCTTCTTCTGTTGTTTTGTGTCTTCTTTCTCATGGTTCCTCCCATTGGTTCTAATTCTTTTTTACAATGTGACTAATGTGGAAATATGTTTCATATGAATGTATATGTAGAGCTTATATCAGATTGCATGCTATCTTAGGGAGGGGGAGGGGAAGAAAAGAGGGTGAGAAAATTTATAACTCAAAAGTTTGTGAAAGTGAATGTTGAAAACTAAAAATAAATGAATTAATTAAGAATAGGAAAAAAAGAAAAAAATTAATTCCCTTGATATCCTTAACTTTTTGTTAACTATCTAAAATGTTTTTTCATTGATTATAGAGGACATTAAA